GGAAGGAAGGAAGGAAGGAAGGAAGGAAGGAAGGAAGGAAGGAAGGAGGGAGGGAAGGGAGGGCCTCTCTACCTGGGGTACCTAGCTGGCAATTAACAAGGTTTGGAAGGAGGGAGGGGGATGCCATGTTGGTTGAAAGGTTTCCTGGGATCAGAAGAACAGAGAAATGATCCAGAAAGTCCCACCCTTGAGGAAAGCAAAGACATTTCCAGGTAGCCCCCTTAGCCTCTTCTGGAGGCTGTATCACCATCCTTCTATTATTCAAAGTAGTGGGAAATGTACTGACAGCTAACCTTTGCTGAGTAAAGCATCGCAGATGCACTATCTTATTTGATTTAAACAACAGCTCTGTGAAGTAAGCACAATCATACCCCCATTTTATGGACAAGAAAATTGAGGCTTAGAGAGGACAGACCCCATCCCTAAGGCTGACCGACCTGCAGTGCCCTCTGAGTGACAGGTCCCAGAGGTCAGTTTTCAGAGTGTGACAGATCCTTCCCTCCTTCAAAGCCAAGCTCACGGGCTCACAGCTCACCTTCCCAAACAGATGCCCCAGATGGCCACACCCTTCTGCAGCACTCGTTCTGATGCATCTGCCTGATTTACACTGGAGGGCATTTGTTTCAAACAAATGTGTGTTGAGCTACAAAACTTAGCCCGGTGTCCCATAGACATCCTCATGAAGCTCTACTATTGTCTACACTATTGTTCAGTTATTCTGAAGAAGGCCTGGAGACAGTGCAGGGCAGTTGGAAGATGACCCAGTGTGCAGGTGTGATCTCAGGAGTCACTTTCTAGAATGGTTGAGTTTATTCCTTTCCATAAGGATGTCTCAGAATCTCCAGAATCCTTGAAATCATCTGTATTAGTGTGTCTCACATTGCTGTAAAGAAATACCTGAGGCTGAGTAATTTATCAAAAAAGAGCTCTAACTGGCTGACGGTTCTGCAGGCTGTACAGGAAGCATGGCAGCATCTGCTTGGCTTCTGGGGAGGCCTCAGGAAACTTCATTCATGGTGGAAGGTGAACGGGGAGCAGGCATGCCTTACGTGGCAGGAGCAAGAGGGTGGGGGGAGGTGCTACACACGTTTAAACAACCAGATCTCACGAGATCTCACTCACTGTCACAAAGCTGGTACCAATGGGGGATGGTGCTAAACCACTCGTAAGAAACCACCCCCATAATCCAATCACCTCCCGCCAAACCTCACCTCCAACACTGAGGACTGCAATCCACAGGAGATTTTGTGGGGACACAGACACAAAGCATATCACTGTATTTGGTTTTTTGAATCACTTATATTCAATCAGTGATCATGTTTGAAGTAAAGGTCAACCATTCAATAGAACGTGTGTTTCTATGCTTGATAATTGGTGTCATCCTTTCACATGGGTGATGGCCTTGAAAGAGAAGCACATATGTGAGCTTGCAGAACCACACTCTGGCTGTGAGATTAAAGGTTTGGGAGAGTCCTATGTGGGGCCCCTGCACTCTCCTGGGTTCCCTTCCCTCACTTAAGTGACCTCTTGTCCCTGCAGGGATGGGAGACATGGCCGTGTCCAACTCCATTGGGAGCAACGTGTTTGACATTCTGATTGGCCTTGGTCTCCCCTGGGCTCTACAGACCCTGGCTGTGGATTATGGATCCTACGTAAGTGTTTTCTCCAGGACTTCTCCTGAAATCCAGGGCTACGTGGACTCTGTTTTAACAGCCTTGGCCACAGGGTCTTTGTCTCGGGGCAAAGGGGGTATAGAAATTGTAATATTGAGGGGAAAACAAATTCTCCTTGTCAAAGGCCTTCCTAAGTCAGGCTTGCAGGGACATTCAGGACTTTAGAGCAGGGGCCAGCAAACTTTTTCTGTCAAGGGGCAAATACTAAATATTTTAGGCTTTGTGGGCCAGAGGATGTTTATACAGCTCTTCAGCTTTGCTGCTATAGCAGAAAAATGGCCCTAGACAACAAATAACCAAATGGGCATGTCTGTTTCAATTCAACTTTCCTAATAGAAACTGAAGTTTGAATTTTATATCATTTTTATATGTCATGATATATTACACTTCTTTTGATTTTTGTTCCAGTCATTTAAATATGTAAAAACCATTCCTCACTAGTGGACTATGCAGAAACAATTGGTGGGCCAAATTTGGCCCATGGGTCGTAACTTGCCAACTCCTACTTTAGTGTACTTAGACTTGCTCCACCTTATTACAGGCTAAGTGATGCATGTCAGAGACACATTGGAGAGATGCCATCCGAGTTGACCACTGAAAGGGCATCGCCCACTGCAAGGGGTCACAGAATTCCAAATAACTCTTATAAGTTCTGCAGCCCAGAGGGTGAGACTTTTGCAATCAGGCTTTTACGAATTGACTCACATCAGCCAAATTCACAAGAGTTTGATGTCTAGGATAGAATGTCAACAGATGGTAGTAACAGATGGTAAGATATATAAGGGCTGTGCAGAAAGCATATGCTTATTTTGGATGATATGTTCTCTATATTCCTGGAGAAATAACTTGTGTGGGAGTTATTTTGGGCATCCTGTGACCATCCTCTAATTCAGTGTTTCAGGAGTACTCACAGATTACATTCATGGCTAAGGTTTATTATAGCACAGGATATGGGATAAAAGGAGCTGGAAAGTGAAATGCATCAGGAGAAGCCCAGCGTGGTCAGCTGCAGGCCTCTAATTCCTTCCCTAATGAGTCACACAGAACGTGCTTTCTCCCTTGCAGGGAACATGCATGAGATGTCTCTGTCCAGGGAAGTCCACTGGAGGCTGAGGCTTTTGGGGAGGGCTGGTCTGGTAGGCGCATTTCTGCTGCACGAACGGCCATGATGCCTGAATCTCAGAACCACAGCATAGATACCAGGTAGACATTATAAAGTTTGCCAAATGATCCTGACAAGTTGGTACAGCATGGCCTCTCGCTTCTGGGGTACAAACCAATGTCATCAATTGTAACATCCCAAGGGTCACATTCATAGGGGTTGGCCAAAGGTCAACCATGGTTCTGGACTCTCCTGGAGGTATGCAAAGATTAGATAACCAGGCCTGCTGTGTCAACAACTTTCACACAGAAGGTCAAATTATTGTTGTATTTTTCAGAGTAAATGTTGCTAGCTAGTATGTTACCAAAAACCCCAAAATTCCACTGGAGTAGCCCAACAAGGGTTTGGTTTTTTACTCAAATTCCACTGCAGATATTCCCATCCTGGCAGCTCCCATGGGCTCTTCCAAGCAGAAACTCAGGGTTTGTCACACAGTCTATCCAGTGGTTCTACCATCTTAAAAGTCCTTCTCCCATAGCTACACAGAAAGCAGAGAAGGCAAGGGCATGGAATATTATGTAGATCATTTTCTGATGAGGCCCAGAAGTGGTATCTGTCCCAACTGTTCCCATCCCACTGTCCACATAAGTTACATGTACCCACTTGGGTGCAAGAAAGATCCAGGTAATTAGTTTAGTGTTGTGCCTGAAATTCATATAGCCACGTGTAGCTTGTGGCTGACTGTTGGACCCTGAGGCTCTAGAGGATTAAATGACAATCCCCCAGAGTCTAATCCATAGATAACTATTGTTAACATTTCAGCATATTTTTCTTTCTCTAGGTTACTTCGTATAGCTAAGATGATCCTATAAAGGCAATTTTATACATTGCTTTTTATACTTCCTGTTATATCAAACATGTTTTCCTCAAAATCTCATTGGAAACATCATCTTCAAGGTGCCCTATTATTACAGCATATTCCAGAATTAACATAATCATGCTGCTGATCTTGGACACTTATGTTGATTCAAACCTTTCACTGTTTCAAGTAGTGACACCACAGACATCTTTGTACATTAATCTATAGGTTTTAGAGTTGTACATAGATCTATACTTTTCAAGTTTACATTTCAAGATTTTTTTAGATGATTTTTCTCAGTGTTGGAAAAGTTATATAAAAGAATGACAGATTGACATTCCAGAATGACAATATTTTTTACATGGTTGTCCAGATTCATTCCTGAAGTTTTGGGACAGCTTTATGATACCCTCGTATCCTGACCACAGGAAGCTCCATGAAGGCTGACATTGAACCTTTCACTTGTCTGTCTTCTTCATGGCACACAGTATGGAGCAGGCACATACTCAAGCCATGAAAAGCCTGTTGAATAAATGGGAATCCATGTTTAGCTCTTCCACGGCCTTTGCATTCACTTTCACCAGCAGCGAAAGTTACCTTTCATGAATTAGAGGGACACTTCAGGTCCAGGCTGAGACATGAGGGCATGAATAACCTTGTAATTTGGTGCCCCCCAAAACATATTTTTATTTAAAAAATATTTCAGCATTTACTTTCAAGATGAGATAAAATGTTTTGTGAGCAAAGGATGGAGATGGGAGATTACTGGTTTCTTCAGTAATGCAGTCTTCCCTTGTTATCACGCAGTTCAGCTCTGAACTCAAACTTGCATATCATGCTCTGAACAAACGCTTTGCAGTTAACACAACCTAACTTCCTTAAAAACATTTAGTGACTTTCTGTTCCTACTTGGTCATACTTGACAAGGAAGCCAATAAAGATGCTCCTTAGCCAGATTCAGAGTGCTGCATACAGGGGTCTGATGAACTCATTGGCAGTCCATCTGGTTTATTCCTCAGCTTGTTTCACTTCCCCCATTTACCTCTTACCAAAGTTATGAGGAATTAAAAATCAGACCTATCTCAATTTTAACTGCTTTGTGTCCCTCTGTTGAGGACTAGAAGACAGTGGTTAAAAAATGACATCAAAAAGGAGAAGAAAAAACTGGGCTCTAAACAACCTGATAAATTCATCCCTGCATAATGTATTTTTACCAGGATGACTCTCCAGTGAGAGAGAGACAGGCAGGACCAGAGAATGAGAAACTTTCAATGTCCTTCAGATACGTGATATTATTTCTTATTTTACTTTGATTAAAGGGGACAATCATAGAAGGTGAAATCAAAAACTTTCAAAACAAAATGAAAACTCACCCCAGAAGCAAACTAGTTTCTCTTACCAACTTTGAAATCTTCCTGACTAGACATGGATATCAGGCCTGAAATTCCAACTCGATTCAGCACACCATAAATCATTCCCCTAATGATCTCTCCTCCTTTCCTCTCCTTCTGACATTCCCCCAATACTCTTTAGAGAACAAACAAATTAAACGTTATTCTTCTATCAGTAATTCCCAGAGCTATGAAAGCATACTCTTTCCAGATCTCAATGTCTACTGACATGGTGACATCATGAAAACAAAAATTCAGGCTTTAGTGGATGTTTGGCCCAAATTCATGTTTTTCATCTGAAGATGACATAATTGGATCACTGTGGTCATTCTGCTGGAATTGTACAAGAGCCACATTAAGTCTTGAAATTGAAGATCTACTTTATCCTTGGAGTCAAGGGGGAAATACAGGAGCAGAAACCACTCTGGTTTATTATGATCAATAGCCATGACACACACAAGAGTCCTCTTGGGGGAGACTTGGTTAGGAAGACTGTAGAGAAAGGTGTGTCATGTTGTGTTTCCATCCAAATGCTGCTGTTTCTATAATCAGTGCAAAAAACAAACAAACAAAAAAGATCGTTTTATTCTGGGGATACAAATATCCAATGTAGACCACTCTCTTGAAAATAGAAAATCGTAATATAATCAATAAACAGTTTATGAACTCCAGGGAAGTCAAGGAGATTCCATTTGATATATGGTATGAGGTAGGGATTCAATTTTATTATTTGGCACATGGATATATAGTTGTTTCAGCACCCTCTGTTGAAAAGGAGATTTCATTTTGAGCTTTAAAAATTCAATGGAAAAATTTCTGGTTAGCTTATTTTTCAATAATAATCACAACCTAGGAACTACTAGAAAGCCATGATTTGGTTAAAGCTGTGAATGTTGCATTTCATAAGTAATGCTAACTTCCACTATTTGGAAAAGTTTTTATCCTGAGTCAAGACTAAAATGTAAATGAACAAGAAACAGGGACAGATTAACCTGGTGAACTGAATCAGGGAGGTGAGAGTCACAAAATCAGCCCCAGATCCTAGTGGCATGCTTTAATATTTTGCTTTCTTCTTCTTTTATTCAAGTAGTTTGCTCTCTTTCCTTGAGAGGGCATTTAATAAGGGAAGAATCCCTATGAACAGAAGAACCCCAAATGCTCCCCACATCCTAAATCCTAATCCTTATAAGCTCTCCACAAATGCATCCTCACACTGCACATAATCTCTTTCCACATCCCTGTTGACCCATCCACGTTCCTCCTTGTTTCACAGTTATTTACCACATCTCTCTCTGCTGTTAGAGTCTGAGTTTAAGGCCTCATCTACTTCATGTCTGCCACCAATATCCATCTTACACATATGTAGGGTCCAACCCCACAGGGTTGGTGGGTTTTTCTCCCCATGTGTGGAGAAGAGAGATTGTAGAAATAAAGACACAAGACAAAGAGATAAAAGAAAAGACAACTGGGCCCAGGGGACCGCAACCACCAAGACATGGAGACCGGTAGTGGCCCCAAATGCCAAGCAGCACTGATATTTATTGGATACAAGACAAAGGGGCAGGGTAAGGAGTGTGAGCCATCTCCAGTGATAGGTAAGGTCATGTGGGTCACATGTCCACTTAAC